GTTTGTTCTAAATAATTAGAATGCTTCTGTATTCAATTCAGTGTTATATTTAATTCAGTTCAGATTTGTAGCTTCCTGATAAACATTATTTTTTTCAGGACTCGAGTCCTGCAGGAATGCGTGGGAACGACGTTCCTGCCCTTTTTTGTATGGCAGGAAGGCTGTTCCCATTGCTCCTGCAGGCATTCAGGGGGCAGCAAAATAAATGCTGCCCCCAAAAATACCCCACCCCGTGTTCCTCCTGTCATGGGGGGCCCAAGAGGGCCATCTGATGGACCCCCCCTCCCCCCGGCGGGCACCTGTCTCCAGGTCAGACGCCGCAAGGGAGCTGTATTCTCCCAGGTCTGCTCCCTCACGTGCCGCTTGCTGATGCTGGGAGCTGGAATAGGACGTCATATTCCAGGTCCCAGCATCAGTAGACAGCCCGCTCGGCGAGAGGGAGCAGAGCTGGGAGAACACAGCTTCCTCGCCGTGTCTGACCAGGGACAGGTCCACGCCAGCTCTCCAGGTAGGGAGGCTGGGTGGACATGTTAAAATTAAAAAAAATAATAATAATTTATGTGTGTGTGTGTGTGTGTGTGAGTTCATGTGTGTGTGTCTGTGAGTGACTGTGAGTGTGTGTCTGTGAGTGTGTGTCTGAGTATGTGTGTGTGTCTGTGAATGTATGTGTGTGTCTGTGAGTGTGTGCCTGTGAGTGTAAGTGTGTGTGTCTGTGAGTGTGTGTGTGTCTGTGTGTATGAGTGTACGTGTGTGTTTGTGAGTGTATGTAGGTGTCTGAGTGTGTGTGTGTGCACACTTTTATAAATGCATACGAGTGTATTTTTTTTTGGGAGGGGGGACGGATCTTGGGTGAGTTCCCACACTTTATTCCTCAGGACCTGACCCCTGATTTTTTCATATACATTTGAGTAGACCTACTGATAATACAATCGTGAAATGACTGGGCACATACATATATTTCTTATTAGAGAAGATTGTGCGCTGTTTTGGCATGATGACATTGTAGATGATATAAGAATAAGTAAGGCTCCCAAATTCAGTGGAAATAAAATTGTGGACTTTTATTTATCTTTTTTAACTTATTCAATTGCTGTTTCCAGTTTGTTTTTATCCAGTAAAGTTTATTTTACTTTTACTACATTGGATATCCTAATATTTTATGCGGTACCAGGAAGGAGACTCCATAGAAGTGAAGCTCAGAGCCCGAATAAGCTTATTATTCAACTGCCAACCTGCTTGTTGTGGCTCTGGAGAGTGTGAGTGACCCATTACCTCTTTAATAGATCTATATTTGCTGATATACAGTATTATTATATGACTGCTTTTATATTGTTTTATCAGAACGATCAGGGGGCTCTACACTCATAATAATAAGTATATATTTGTATGTACTGTTGTTTATTCCTGCACCCCCTGTTATTTATTACTTTTATCTATTTATCCAGTGTCATTTGAGTGATTTAAGACACTGGAGGTTGTTGCCCTCATATCTGCATGATAAGCACCAAACCACCTTTATTTTATCCTTTCTTGGATTTAATACTATATACCTGTTGTCAATTTGAAAAAAATATAGACTTTGCATGGGTTTAAATGTGATTTTTATCCAGTTTTTTCACTTATTCACATTACGGTAGCATTGGTATAACTGCAGACCCAGCCAACTCATATCCCTTCCCAATTGTTAACACTAACCTTATGGTTAGGATTAACTAACCCTAGGACTAGAGGAAGTGTTGCATAATTTGATCAGGACTAGCAGTGTTAGCTATCCCTATTGTTAAGATTAGTAGAGGTAGGATTAGGGAATGGGCTTAAGGGTAGAGCTAGGGATAAAGATAGTGTTATGAATGGTATTAGGAATTGTGTTAAGAAGACTTAAATGGACACTATAGGCATTAAAATTTTTTAGCTTAATCCCTTTCCGACCTCGTATGTACCAGGTACGTCCAACAAAAAATCGCCGTTAACGACCTTAGCCGTACCTGGTACGTCCGATAGTAAATCTCTACTTACCTGATCGCTGGTGATCCCCCACCAGTGATCGCGATCCTGTGGTCTGCCTGGGGGCAAAGGCAGACCCTCTCTGCCCGATCCGGCCCTCACGTGCCATTTGATCGCGGGGTCCTCGCGATCACATGGCCAGAATAGCTCTCAGGCAGTCACCCTAATGCCTGTACAAAATATTTAAAAATGAATAAAAGTTGTTTAAAAGTTAATAAAAGTACTTAGATCATATATGTATATATATATATATATATATATATATATATATATATATATACATGATCTAGGTACTTTTATATCCACATACACATACATAAATCATAATTAAAAGTGTATTTTAATATATATACATACATGTCCTGATGAAAGTTCTATATGAAGAACTGAAACGTTGACCGATTGTGGGATCTTCGAACCATTAAAAGAACTATTTTTTTCACAAGACCTTGAGTGCTGGCTACATATCTTTTGGTATATGTTGTGCAGCTAAGCACCGGACAGAAAGACTGGGAAGCTGGAGTGCAAAACCTACGAACTCTCTCTATATATATATACATATACACACACGTATTATATACACACGTATTATATGTATATGTGTTATACATATATACATACATACACACACGTATTAAATATATATATTATATAAATAAAATTTAAAAAAACGTTTATTTATATATATATATATATATATATATATACACACACACACACACACACACACATTGTACATATATATTTAACTACAGAATTTTTTTATTTTTTATTATAATTTGAGGGCAATTTGGACGAATTTTGGAAATTCGGACATTCGAATGCTTCCGAATGTCCCAAGTGCCAAATTTTCTAAGTGCTGACGTTCGGAAGTGCCGACTATTGGAATGACGAACCGAATTGCCGAATTTCGGTTAGGTTTAGAGGAAGGGTTAAGGGTTGGGGTACAATTAATGGTTGGGGTAGAGTTAGAGGTAGAGTTAGGGGTTGGGTTAGTGGTTGGAGTAGGGTTAGGGTAGGAGTAGGGTAACCCTAACCCTATTCCTAACTCTACCCCTAACCCTACCCTATCCCTACACTTACATGAAGTCCTGAAGTTCTGAACTTCTGAAGTAACAAAAGTGCCGAAGTTCTGAAGTATTGAAGTGCCGAACCGAAGTTTCGAAGTGCTGAAGTCCCGAATTTCGGAATGCCGAACCGAACTAAGGGGTTAATAAGGCAGTTTTGGTGTATAGATCTTACTGCTCAATTCTCTGCAATTTAGGAGTAAAATCACTTTGTTTATAGTGTAGGAATGGAACTAGAACTACTTTACATAACAGACGTACGCATACGCAGATACCTTGTTCTCAGAGGCGTAACTAGAAACCACAGGGCCCCAGGTGCGAAAATTGCCCTTGGGCCCCCCATACATCTACCCCTTGCCACGCCCCCATATGTTTACCCTCGCATACGCTGCCCCCCCACACATGCAGACAAACAGACACACACACACACATATACAGACAAACACACACACGCACAGACACACATGCATACACACATACATACAGACACACACACAGACATATATACAGACACACAGACAGACATACACACATACAAACATACACACAGACAGACATACACATACATACAGACACACAGACAGAAATACACACACACATACAAACATACACATACAGACACACATACAAACAAACATACACACCACTGTAGTTCCGCCAGTGCTTGTTCTACATTTCTAAACTTTTTATATTTATTTGTCCCCATTAAATCAGGCCAAGTGCTGCTTGAGAATGATGACCAAAAAGGATGAATTGCACTTCTCCCTATGCAGTTGTCTCTCTGTAGAACAGGGCGATGACAAATCCCCTTGAAGCGAAAATGGGAATGACCATTGCAGCCTTTTTTTTTTATTTTATGAAATAAGTTTATGGTTTATAAACTAGGTTATCATGTTGCTTGGTTCTAATACTATAAGATTCAACAATACATTTATTTTTCAGTACAGGTGTACTGTGGATGATGACTCACTGCTACTCAGGCTAAACTATGATCCCAATGGCAAAACCTGCATTTTAGGGTCTAATGCCAGCTTCAAGATGACTAACATGTAAATACAATTTACAGTCTCTTCCATGACAGTTCACTAATGTACAATGGTGGAACTACCATGGTCGCAGAGGTTGCAGTTGTGACCAGTCCCGTCACTCTTAAAACCTAAATTGGTTCTTAATCAGGATATTGATCTGAAGGGTCTTATTTGATTTTATAATCAAATAATATTGTTTTTTATTAGAGAGTTAGTCTGCCACCCTTCCTGTGTATTTAGGGACCCATATATTTTACAATAAATTTTTATTTATTTGTAATATTTTTCGAAATTTTTATATTACAGCATTATATATATATATATATATATATATATATATATGTATATATATATATATATATATAAAAATTTATTTTTCGTTGTGCTTAAAATTACAAACAGTCTTGCAATGCTACGACAACGGGTGCAAGCAGCAAACAACGATCAGTATCATGGTATAGAAAAACAGCAAATTTTAACGGGGTTTTGAGAAAACAGGCTAAACATACAATATCGTGACATGGGAAAGATATTCATAGTTTATCAATATAATAGGCATGCTTATACCAGCGACGTCAGTGAGTAATGGCCACAATATCATGACATGGGAAAGCGATTCACAGTTTGTCAATATAATAGGCATGCTTATACCAGAGACGTCAGTGAGTAATAGCCTTAAAGATAGATAAAACAAGCTAGATAAACTGACTGCTGGGTTGGTCATAATAGTGAAATATTATATGCTTTGCTGGAAGAGATCATCTAAGAAGAGAAAAGACCACTAGATGTGAATTACAGATTATACTATCCTAGGTGTGATAGCCAGGCAATATAGTGAAAGTGAATATATCTATTCAGGCATTAGGCAACAGACTCCACATGCTAAAATAATAGTAAAAACTCAAAAGGAAAGCACAGAAAAAAAACAACTAAGGAGGCTGTGACAGAATGACACAGAAACAGTCTGCAGTTCAGTTTCAGCCAATACCACATCTGGTATCCCCGAATCTGGGATTTCGTGCTGGCAAGTAGTGTTGATTGAGACCACCTTCATCAGGCCGTGGTCGGGAATCCCCCAGAGCATCCAGGCCAACATAGCGGCATGTCTGCTCCTCTGGCTCACACGCCTGGGCTGGAATGTAAGCCCTCTGTATGCCTCTTCACCCCTAGGCTCTCCATCTTCAGTGGCAAGGCCATTCCCCTGCAGAAATCCCCCATCACCGGCATGCTCACATGGTTGTGGATGACTGATGGACTCAATGTCCATCCAGGCTCTCGGCTCAGAAGAAGAGAGGTGAGTCAGGTCTACGCTGGAGGTTCCCCCTGGAGGAGGTTCCCACTGTAGCTGTTGGGCCTCAATGCAGGCCCAGAACACCGTGCAGACCACATCAAATGCTGTGTTGAATCTGGTTTCCCATAAGGGTAGTTGAGGCACACAGGGTATGGCATCTCCAGCGTTCACCTGGTGATGAGCTGGGTCTTCAGAAGTCGTGATCAAGCAGATCACTCTGCTACTCCATGCCATTTGGAACCTCTGGAACCCCGGCCGTTTACAAGATTGGCCCCTCCAGATCAGTGTCGGAAGATTGTTCGGTTCTCCCACTCCATCCAAGGAGTAGGCCACAGGTTTCGACCGCCAGTCAGCATGGGCATATAGTTGGGCAGCATTTGGTTTGCTTCCAGGGATGCCCAAGAGGTGCCAGGCGTAAGCAGGAAGCCAGGTATAGGCTGGAAGTAACGATCAGTTGGTCAGGAGCCGACCAGTAATCGACATAGGTATCATTTGTGATATACTTCATATCTGCATATGTTTATTTTATGTCCCTTCTTCGCATTGTGGGGGAGGCAGAGTATCTCCTCTCTTTTTTATACATATGCTTGGTGAGCTACAGTTATGGCGATGTTGTGCCTCAGTTTTTTTTGGTCTTTTGTTCCTACACAGCCCTCTTATGGCTTTCTTGGTGGGCGCATGTGCTGAAATTGCTGATCCACCAAACATCATCAGAAAAGTCTGCATTAGACGCCCTGGATATGTGTCATTGCGGTTCAAGCCGAAACGCATGCCGAGCACACATGGATCATATTTCCCATCAGTGCCATACTATTTATATGGTTTCCTTGTCAGGAACGAACATATATCCCTCTTGAACTCCTTCTTCCAGGACGAAACGCGTTGGATTATTATTCTTTCCTTTGTCTCTGACAATCGCCAAATAGTAATTGCTAGACGAGTGGGTCAGAGCAGTGGCGTACATACCAGGGTCGCAGGGGTCGCGGCTGCGACCGGGCCCGGCCCACCAGGGGGCCCGGCCGCCCCTGCGACCCGGTATGTACACACAGGGCCAGCCTCTTCCCCTGGGGGGCCCAGGAGCCGGCCACCCCAGGGCCCCCCGAGGCTGGCCCTGCTGACACCGGGCGGGTGGCCGGTCAGGCAGGCGGGCGCGCGAGGGAGCACTCAGATGACGTCATCTTCCGGCTCCGGCATCAGTGCGGCGCGCGAGGGAGCTGAAGAGGAAGCACTGAGTGCTCCCTCGCGCGCCCGCCTGCCTGACCGGCCACCCGCCCACAGTGACCTGCCGCCCAGGGAATCCCCCCAGCACTCCAAAAGGTAAGGAGGCTGGGGGGATTAAATTTTAAACAAAAAACTAGTGTTAGTGTTTGAGTGTGTGTGAGTGTTAGAGTGCGTGTTAGAGTGAGTGTGAGAGTGAGTGTGAGTGTTAGTGTGAGTGTTAGTGTGAGTGTTAGTGTGTGTGTGAGTGTTAGTGTGTGTGTGAGTGTTAGTGTGTGTGTGAGTATTAGTGTGTGTCTGCTAGTGAGTGTTAGTGTGTGTCTGCTAGTGAGTGTCAGTGAATGTGTTACTGTGTGTGTCTTACGGAGTGTGTGTGTTAGTGAGTCTGTTTGATGTCTGTTAGTGAGTGTGTGTTTGTCAATGAGAGTGTATGTTTTGTAAGTGAGTGTGTATGTATGTCTGTCGCTGACTGTGTCTCTGTCAGTAAATGTGTGTGTGTGTCTGTTAGCTAGTGTGTAAGGCCTGTAAGTGTGTGTGTGTGTGTGTCTCTAGCACTTATCTTTCCAGCATTGGACTCTTGGCGCTTGGGATCCTCGCTCTTAGCACCAATGCCACTCAAGACGTGATTTCAACTGAACATGCCAGGAAAAATACTCAATGCTTCCCAAGGGATGCTCAGTGTTCTCTAGCGGCTTGCCAGTGAGACAGCCATCAGAGGTTGATTAACTCAGTGTGAAATGCGTTTCTCTGAAACTGCTGTTTTCAGCTGCAGGGTTAAAAATTAGAGGGACCTGACACCCAGACAACTTTATTGAGCTGGATGTATCTGGGCGGCCTAGAGTGGTCTCCAAAGGGATCATTCATAGTGCTGTGGAAAAACATACTCGTTTTCCTGGCACTATAGTGCCCTGAGGGTGCCCCCACCCTCAGGGGCCCCCTCCCACCCAGCTCTGGAAAGGGGAAAAGGGGTAAAACTTACCTTTTTCCAGCGCTGGGCGGAGAGCTCTCCTCCTCCGACCCTCCTCTTCTCCTCCCCGTCGGCTGAATGCGCACGCGCGGCAAGAGCTGCGTGCGCATTCAGCCGGTCACATAGGAAAGCATTCATAATGCTTTCCTATGGACGCTGGCGTGCTCTCACTGTGAAAATCACAGTAAGAAGCACGCAAGCGCCTCTAGCGGCCGTCAATGAGACAGCCGCTAGAGGAAATAGGGGAAGGCTTAACCCATTCATAAACATAGCAGTTTCTCTGAAACTGCTATGTTTATGAAAAATGGGTTAACCCTAGCTGGACCTGGCACCCAGACCACTTCATTAAGCTGAAGTGGTCTGGGTGCCTAGAGTGGTCCTTTAAGTGTGTGTGCATCTGCATGCACTGGCGTACATACCGCGGTCGCAGGGGTCGCAGCCCTGTGACCAGGTGCCCACCGCCATGTGTTGCGGCCCGGCCCGCTCGGGGGGGCCCACGGATCAATTTTCGCACCGGGGCCCCATGGGTCATGTGTACGCCACTGGGTCAGAGCATCTCCAAAATGGCAAGTCTAGTAGGTATGCAATGGTTGGTACCTAGCACAAGTGGTGCAAGAAAGGACAACTAGTGAACAGATATCAGGGTCATGTGTGCTCGAGACTCATGCACATGGGGACTAGTCCATCTGGTACGATCACATATAAGAGGTACTGTAGATCAAATTGCTGAAATTATTAATGCTGGCTATAATAGAAAGGTGACAGAACACACAGTGCATCACAGTTTCCTGTGCATGGTGCTGTGTAGTCGCCCACGATTACCCCTGTCCACTGCCGAAAGTGCCATCAACAGGGACGTGAGCATCAGAACTGGAGCAATGGAAGAAGGTTGCCTGGTCTGATAAATCATGTTTTCTTTTAGATCAGGTGGATGGCTGGATGCGTGTTTACCTGGGGAAGAGATAGCCGCAGGATACACTATGGGATGAAGGCAGGTCGGCGGAGGCAGTGTTCTGCTAGAAAACCTTGGGTCCTGACGTTCATGTGGATGTTACTTTGGCACGTACCACCTACCTAGAGATGTTGGAGACCACATACACTCCTTTAGGCCAATGGTGTTCCCTGAGGGCAGTGGCTTCTTTCAGCAAGATAATGCACCCTGCCACAAAAAATGTTCAGAAAGAGTTTGAGGAACGTGACAGATAGCTCCAAAATGTTTTTTTAGGCCTTCAAATTCCCCAGTTCTCAATCTGATTGAGCATTTTTGGGAAGTCCTGGATCAACAAATCTAATCATGGAGGCCTCACTTCCCAACTTGAATGAACTAATGGATCTGATGCTAATGTCTTGGTGCCAGGCTCCACAGGACACATACAGAGATCTTGTGAAACCCATGCCTTGATGCAGGGGCGTACCTAGAGCATTTGGCACCCGGGGCGGATCCTGTGCTTGGCACCCCCCCCACCCCCCTCCCCAAAAAAAAATCTGTAAAAAATGTTAAAGGTTTTATTTCTTTTATTTTTACAATTTGTAAACTTTGCAAAACCGCTGTCAGCCCCTCCTACAAAACCCTTGTCCTGCCCTGCCCCTCCTACAAAACCTCTGTCCTGCCCCTTCTACAAATCCTGTACTGCCCCATCTACAAAACCCCCGCAACCCCCTTCCACAAATCCCCTGCTTATCCCCCCTTATAAAGACTCCTGTCCCAATACAAAACCCCCACCCCCTTCTACAAAATCCCTGCAGCCCTACACACACATTTACAGGCAGACAGTCACACACTCAGTTACAGACAGACAGTCACACACTCAGTTACAGGCAGACAGTCACACACAGTCACAGGCAGACAGTCACACATACACATTTCCTCCGTGCGGCCAGTTTATCAGCTGTTTGCTTGAGTGAGCTGTACTGGCCGCACGGCACCCTAACTACCATGGGACACTGTGCGGCCACAGCTCACACAGCCCCCTCCAGCCAGGGCCGGTACAAGGATTTTTGCCGCCCTAGGCAAAAGTAAAGTTTGCCGCCCCCCATGTGACATCACAATGCCCCAACCATATGATTTGCCATGTTAACTAATGCCAGTGCTGCAGTGCCGCCGTGTTTACATTAAAAGGCCTGCAGGGACAGGCTATAGACACCAGAACCACTATATTAAGCTGAAGTGGTTCTGGGGACTATAGTGTTTCTTTAATGTGAGGTAAATTAGAGCTTAGTGCCACGAATAATATACTAGATTGCCTACTTACAACCAGATGAGGATGATGATGTGCTCTAGCTGCAGTCTGGCTTCACTGGTCTGGTGCAGAACAGTCTCTCTGCAGGCGGTTTGTAACTGTGGTCACAAAAATCAATGTTCTGGGAGAACGGGAAGCAGCTCCATTTTTTGGGGTCCCTTTACACAGCTCAAGGTCTGGGTCCCAGGGTCCACCTTCATGTTCCACCAATGAGTTTGTTCACAGGGGGTGGAGTGTGTAGGGGATGTCCTGATATGTGTGCAAGGAATGCATTGTGTGAATCTGTGTTTGTATGTGTAAAGGGCTGCAAGGTGTGTTTCTGTGAATGTACAGGATGCAGTGTGTGCGTGTGTAAGGGGTGCATTGAGTGTGTGTAATGAATGCATTTTCTGTGTGTGTAAGGGATTAGGTGTAGTATTAATACTTGATTTGCATTGCTTGTGTATGTGTGTGTCTACGTGTGTTTTCTGTGCAGGGGGTGCATTGTGTGTATGTGATGAATGTCAATCTCTCCTCCAGCTCAATTTCCTTCTTTCTCACCCCCCCCCACCTCCCTGTAGCGTGGCCGATCCCAGTATAGCCGGCAGGTACAGGGAGCTTTTGTTTCCTCTACCCGGCCGGACTAACAGGAAGTGCCCACTCAGTGTGCACTTCCTGTTAGTCCGGCCGGGTACAGGAGACAGCTGCTCTCTGTACCCGTCGGACCATGCTGCAGTGAGGGAGCTGACAGGAGCGCTCCCTCCTGTCAGCCTCTCCTCAGGCTGCGCCCGGGCGGTGCGGTCCGCCCTCATGGACGCACCGCCCGGGCAAAGCTGCAGCCGCCTGAGGCTCTATACAGAGCGCTCGGGCGGCTGCAGCATGGGGGGGGCGGGGGGCTGGCCATGGCACCCCCTACCCGGCTGGCACCCGGGGCGGACCGCCCCCCCCGCCCCCCCCTTAGTACGCCACTGGCTCCACCTCTGTCCTATAACCATTGGAGGCAGGTTTGCATATAAGTAAACTATTTGGTAGTGATC